ACCGCTTGGTGCCACGCTGCATCCTCGGCGCTGCGCCCAGGCCCGAAGGCCCAACAACGGCGGGGGAAGTTGGAGTTGAACTCGAGAAGGTGGGGTCTTCTTAATCTCCCCCAGACTCGGGCGGGGCCCGCGCGCAAGAAGATCGGCCCAACTCCCCCTTTGGGTTTCTCGACAGAACAGCTGTTTAGGGAAAAGCCCCAAGGACTCGATGGCCTGGAAGGTGGCTCCGAGCGCGACCAGGGCAGAGTCAGGGACCAAAGACAGCTGACGAGGGCGCAGCCCATCCAAAGACTGCGACGTCATTTTAGAAAAAGAGTTGCTGGCAGCGCGAATCTCAGCCGCCGAAGCCCGAGGCAGATGGTCCCTGTCCAGGACTTCAGCTCGGGCGGGGGAGGTGCTGGCATGCCAGAACTTGGCCGGGGTCCTACTTTCCGCGCCAAGAACATATTGCGGGTTACTCGTGAGCTGCCCAGCGGTGGTCTGGACGACCGTGGGGGCCCATTTCTCTTTTAACTTAGTTAAACGGTGCATAGCCCTGGCCCCTCCCGATAACGCTTTCTCCTGCCATTCGTCCCAAGACTCCTTTTGTTCCTGTTCAGGGTGGCTTGGGCGAGCTCCAGGTCATCGTTCCAGGAGCCAATGAACTCCTGAACGCCCTGGAGCCACGCGGGCGAGGTAACCGCCCATCTGGAGAGGAGATCCCACGCCTGTCTGATCGTCGCGTCCAACCTGACACTCGATCCTTCGCCTGGCACGGGCTGTAACTGCAACTGCTTGATCTGGGACTCCGCATCCTGCTGGAGCTGGCCCAGTCTGTTAGGTTCGGCTCTGGAGCTGGCCTGGGCATCGGCCAGTCGCCGGGTAACTCCGAGAGTCTCTTTCATATGCTGGGCCAGCCAACCCCATCCCAAGGAAACTTCATCCCTGGCGGCCTTCTTGGGCCTCTCGAAGATGGGGGCCCAGCGAGGCTTCAAGAAGGCCCCCTTGTGACCCTTACTGATAACCTGGACCCCATGGAAACTCTCGAGTTCCAACTCTAACGCGCTGGCAAAAACTCCCCACGCATGCGCCCACTGGGCCCAGGCCTTCCCGACAGGAAGGTGAATCGCAGCATCGGCGGCAGTCTCCGCCAGACACCGGGCAAGCGTCCAATCCTGGGGGCTGGGGCAGGGGCCGAAGGGGAGCTCAACTGGTAACTTCTGGTGGGTGTGGTAATTCAGCTGATATAGCTGCACCGCTTTGTCTCGCAACTTAATTTGCACGGGCCTGCGTGGTCTGCCAGTCCACGACGTATCAGCCTCTATCTGCTCCACCGCTCTGGCCATGCTCGCACTGGCCATGAAAAAGTCGATGGTCGCGAGCGCGCTGGGCGCGACGCAGGTGCGCTGCTCGGGAACAAAGAGCGCAGCGTCAAGGCGTCTCGGCAATCCTGTGCTGTCGACAAGACTGGCTTCCATGTTCCAGTCAGCTCCTACAAGGAAAAGGCGCCCCTTCTCAAGGTGGGATCCAATTTTCTTGAGCATTCCGAGGTTGGACTCACACAGTCCAGTGCCAGACTTCAAATACGCACGCGCAGCGGTCAGGGGGGGTCACGACGGGGCGTCGACCACCGCTTTGATGATTCTGCTGGGAACCATGGTGCCAGGGCCCTCCGTAGGCCATCGTAACCCCACTGATTTTCTGACCAAGATGGCAACTCCCCGCTTGGGTTGTCCTGTTTGTCCAGAGACCGAGGGGGAGGCGAGCATCTTCCAACCTAACTTGGAGACCGCATCACATGTTTCGCTCAATCTGTCCTCCAACGCGCCGATCTCCTGGGCGAAGATAGTGAGGGCAGGGGTGGTCGTCAGACGGTCTCGTAATGTGCTCCAGGCATTGTAACACTCGATGCATTCGCCTCCGCCAAGCACCCCAGGGAGGGTCGGAGGCGGGGGGGCAGGCGGGGGGATCGGAGTGCCGAGCTGAGACAGAGGAAAGCCGCTGCACCTTGGGAGTGGGTGGTGCTGCCCCAGGCGCTGCTTCTTGAAAATCGCGCGCAGCTGCTCCCCGAATTCTCTCTTGTCCGTGCGCTGTGCGCTAAAGTAAACCTGCTCAAGCTCCGCGCCATCAAGATCAAGGTCGTGATCTGGCACACTCTGGTGTGCCGCTTGCTGACCAGGATCGCGCGGAGGGAAGCGAAACGGTGATGCCACGGGCTCGTCACACGTCCCCATCTTGATGTCTCCGCCTCCATCGACGACGAACGGTGACGCGGGTGGGGCGGGCTTCGTCGCCGCGGCCTTCTGCTGATCCATCAACTTCTTGAACTTAGCAACGCCTGGCGATGCCATTGTCGTCACCTTCGACGTTGTCCAAGTCGATTTGGCATGCCGAAGAGGGTTCGACAGCCGCTGGCATCGTCTCCACCAGTTTTTGATTAAGCAAAACCAGCTCCTTTGCCACTGCTGCCTGCTGTGCCCTGAGACTATCGAGCTTCCCATTCGCCCGCTCGATGAACATATCTTGCTTCTGAACATCCTGAGCTAACCTGCGCTGGGTAGCCTCGGCCTTGATGATATTGTGGTCCACGGCAATATGTTGGGACAGAATTGGCTTGCACTCGGCGAGGGACTGACGTGCATCCTTGAGCTGCTTGTCCAGCTCTGCCTTAGCTTGGAAGCGGTTGGGACCACACTTCTCGACCATGCGGATGGTGATCTCAAGGTATTTGATATGATCACGAAGTTGTTGCTGCTTGTCCGTCTCATGTGCTGGAGAACCCGCACCAGCTGGATTAGACTGCACACCATTGCCACTGTTGTCGTTGTTCCCACCACCGCCGATGAACTTGTCAAAGCGCTTGGCCAGGGCGTCGAGCTTCTCCTGCAGTGGATCACGCCGTCCAACTGGACCTGGAGCACGCCTGACAATGCGCGCGCCAGTAGCATGCCGAGCTTGAGGACCGCTCTGGCTCTGCATGTTATTGGCGTTGTTGCGCGCTGCCGCGATGACCTTCTGAGGTGCTGGCTTGCCGCATCTGCACGCAATCCGTGATGCCCAATTGGTGTTGAGGCCGCAGCCTCCGCACGCCCAAAATTGGGCGCGAGGCCCAGGGAGTATGGGCCCTTCTCCATCGGCCATGCCCCTTGGGTGGTGATGATAGGACTGCTCCGCCAAGAGCTCACAGGAATAGTGGCCAGAAAGCCGCACCCCTTTCGTGCACAAAATCAGTGAGCTCGGGCCGCTCCCCTCGGCTGCGATCAAGCTCCCAACGCAGGGAGCAACGTTGGGAACTTGAGCCAAAATGGCTACGGGCACAAGAAAAACCTGAAAGGGTTTTTGTCATGGTTTATTCCCCCCAGACCTGGGGACGGGGGGAGGGAACTTGGGTTGTTTTGAAGTTTTCGGGGCGCCATACTTAAAAACAGTACTACGGGAAGGCTGGAAACACAATGGACAAAACGGTTGGGGTAGAGAAAATCGCGTCCGCAGACAGCCCGCAATCGAGTAAAACGAAAGCGTTGGCATGGCCCATGAGGAGACGGCCCTCGGCCGAGCAATCAAAAAAAAACAATCGCGCGGCCCAGACGAGACAAATCAAATTTTCGGCCGCGGCCGCGGGGGCCCCACCCGAGCCGCAGACCAGGGAACATAAAAGGCCAGCGCACAAGAAAACGCTCCAAGTGGTGCGCGCGGGACGGGCTGCTCAAGCCAAAGTGGGAGACACAAAAGCATGGCCCTGAACAAGAAACATAAACCCTGGCGCGGGATCGAGGACGCCCTGCTCAAGCCAAAAGGAAAGAAAATCAACAGCTGGACAGCTCCTGTCAAGAAAAATGTGGCAGCCCTGGGGCGCGCCCGCCTAAGACGAAAACGGCATGGATCAAGGGGCGGCTCCAAAGGGCATGGAGCGCGGGGCTTGCCCCATGGGGCGTGCATATGGAGCTCGGGGCATGCCCACTGGGGCATGGGACATGGGGCCGTGGGGCATGGGTGCTCCATGCTCCATGGGGCATGAGGAACGGGGCGTTACTGCTTGAAGCATGCCCCGTGGGGCATGACAAAGAAAACGCCCCATGGGGCAAAAGGCATGGCGTGCCCCATGAGGCACGTGGCATGCCTAATGGGGCACACGACATGCCCAATGGGGCACAGGGCATGCCACATGAAGCATAGGGTATGGGACATGCCTCGTGGGGCATGCCCCATGGAGCTTGGGGGATGCCCCATTGGGCATGGGGCGTGGGCAATGCCCTATGGGGCATGGGGCGTGCCCCACGCCGCATGGGCCATGCCCCATGGGGCATGGGGCGCCACAGGACATGCACATGGGGCCCCGGCATGCTCCCTGGGGCATGAAGGCATGGATCGTGCCCCATGGGGAACGGGGCATGCCCAATGGGGAACCGTGGCCCAGGGGGTATGGGGCGACTGCCCCAGGCGTACCCCATGGGGCATCGAGTCTGGGGCATGCCCCACGAGGCGTGAAACACGGGCCACTGGGCATGCCCCGTGGGGCATGGGACATGCATGGGGCACGGGGTACGAGGCATGGGGTATTCTCATGGGCCACGGCATGCCCCATGGGGCATGCGGCAAGCTAATGTAGCATGGGGCGTGCCCCCTATGAGGCACGGGCATGCGGCATGACCTGATGTATCCCAAATTAATGCATTGTTCGTCTGAAGCCGGGACCACGCAGATGACCCACGGGCGGATGGGTCACCTGCGCCCAAAGCAGTCCTTATTTCAGCGTCTCGACTGTACGTAGATGGGTACGGCAGGTTCGTGTCGCGACGACTTCGGCAGTGGTCTCTGACACCGCGGGAATCGTTCAACCTTGAACGGTCTCCGCGCTTGGAGGCTCTCGACCCCCATCTTCGATATTGATTTCGAGCCGCGGGGTAACTTCTGTGAGTCCGGGGGCCCGAAGAGGGCCTCCCAGGGGTGTTCAGGCTTGAGCGCCCGCGGTGGGGTCGCCGCCGCGTCGACATGACGCGTACTTCCCGTACGTGGTTGGCGTCCTCCGGTCCTTTCGGACGGCGCTCCTCTTCAGCTCGGCTGCCCTCGAGCGCATCTCTGCCAGCTTCTGCGACACCGCCTCGGTCCTGCCCTGGAGGCCGTCCAGCTCCCCCGCCGCCGCTCCCCGGGCGGCCTCCGAGAAGCGCCGGGTGGCGACGCGCTTCATGGACACCAGGGTCCTCGTGGCGAGCAGCTGGGTCTGGGCGGCCTGGACGGCCCGCTCCAGATTCTCGATGGCGTCGGAGGCCTGTCCGCGGCACGCAAAGGGGCGGGCGGGCGGAGCGGCCTCTCAAGAGGGCCAGGGGCCTCTCAGAAGGGAGCGGCCCCTTCTTCGAGGCTCCCAAGATCTAGCTGGGACTTGGGACTTCTGGCCGGACCAGAAGACTTGAGGCGCGGGGGCGTCCATCCTCGACAGGGTCGCGTCCGCATGCCCCCTCTTGTGCGGAGTGTGCCCCTCCCAGGGTGCATCCGTCCCTGACTCTGGATCCGCCGTGCTTTGGTCGATGTTCCAATCTGCAAGCGTGTCGGACATGCACCCCAAACGATGCGCGAAAAAAAGGGGCGGAAATGTCCGTTCGGAAATGCACTCCGCAGACGTATGGCGGAGACAACGGAAGCCTTTAGGCAGAAATCGGCATCAAAGAAGCTCGAACAAAAAGGGCAGAACTTGCCGCCATGCTTGCGAAATCGCCCAAGAAGTACGGCGGATCTGGTGTCACCCCTCATCCAAAGATTGCCCCCCCCACAAGAAGCCCCCCCCCGCCCGAAAATAGGCCCCTCCCCGAGTCCATCCATGGCCGGCTGTATGAGATGCGTGCCGGCCGCAGCCGCGAGAACCCCCCAGAAGCGCCCAGAGCCTAAGGCACGACGCCGTCGATGGAGGGACAACAACTAGCAGGAACAACAACTTTCGGAGGTCCGCGCGGGTTTCTTGGATCTGCGCTGGGACCCTCCCTGCCGCGCGGACCGCGTCAGGGGGGGGACTTAGTGCCGATCTAGGAAGTCTGTGCGGAGTTCCGAGAGTTTATGCTTGTGCAGTTTCCTCTTCCTGGAGACGCCGTCGAGGACGACGTCGACGACGCCGTAGAGGACGACGACGACGCCAGCGACGACGGCGACGGCGGGAACGACGACGCAAGTGCCGCCGACGCCTGCTCGGCCGGAAGGCTGTCCAGGCCGGCCGCAAGGGGCACCTCCGCCAGCGCCGCCTGCTCCGCGGCGGCCTCTTCGTGTCGGACAAAAGGAGGGGAGTCAAGGAAAGGCGGGGGGAGGGTACAATCAAACAGGATGCCTAATTCTGTTTCAGTCGGTCCCCACTCTGGAACGCGAGGCGGGAGACCCAGGGAGCACGGGCACACTCTGGGCCTGGAGGCCGAGGTAGTCGTGCAATGCGTGCGAGGCGGGTCGGGAGCCCTGTGCTCTAGATCTAGCCACCCCTACCTGTCGGATTCAGGATGCAGGGACCTCGGCCGTCCAAGTGGATCTTCGTTGGACGGCGCACGACGCAAGACCCCAGGGGTATAACCTGAGAGGCTGGCCACCGAAAGCGGCTGAGGATGGGCCGAGGAGGCAACGATGCAGGGGTGACCTTGGGGCGAATCATGGCGAGGCTCTTTCGTAAACGCACCCAAGGAAGGCATTGATCAAGTCAGGACTGGTCAGCAAATGAAGAGGAAGATTCAGCAAACGGCAGCTGTGGAGGTCAGGGTTCGTTTGCGTCTCCCTTGAAGTCAGCTCACGCATACGATGTCCCTGGCTCCTCACAGCGCCGCAGGCATTAGTGCATCGAGGGAAGGGCCCAACGATGGAGCCGAAACCGGCCGCACACGGCAGATGTCGTGCCCCCCCCTCGTTCTAAATTCCGTCCTTTTTGTCCGACCCGAGCCTCGCACAACTCCACCCCGCGGCACGCCTCCTGGGAGGAACAGAAAGCGGAACAACTTAGACGTCCCTCGGGTACCCACGCGGGATTCATAGATCGGCGTCGCCCCTGGCGCACTCTTCGCGCCAGGGGAGTTCAGCGCCAATCCACGAAATCCGCGCGGACCTCCGAAAGCGTTTCTTTTATGTTCGGCGATGACGGGCGTCATGGGGGGGGGGGAGGGCGGGGGGGGGGTATGACGTAACGCACCCCCCCCCGCCGTGTGGTTCTGGCACCACAACCGCGCCCGCGCGCACGACGCGACGCAGACGAGCGACGAGCGACGAGCGACGACACGACGACGACGAGGACGACGCGAGCAACATGTAGGTGGCGATATGCCTCACCGCGCCTGTGTACACATCGCTCGCGTGCACCACAACGCGCGCGAACACCACAACATCTGCGTACACCGCGAAAACCGTGTGCAACGCAGCGCCTGTGTACACCACAGTGCTTGCATACACTACAGCGCCAGTGTACGTGTATGTGTACACCGCAGCAACCATGTGCAACAGAGCGCCTGTGTGTACACCACAATGCTTGAATGCACCGCAGCGCACGTGCACGCCACAGCGCATGTCTACACCACAGCATCTGCGTGCAACGCAGCGCGACTGTACACCACAGTGCCTGCGTGCAGGACAGTGCTGGTAATCGAATGCGACGTTCTTCCATCTTCCCTCCTCCTCCACCTCCACCTCCACCTCCACCTACCCCTTGCGCTCTTTTTTCTCCTCCGCCCCCCTCCCTCTTCCACGCTCTAGGTAGGGCCCCCGTGCGCCCGGGGAGCGGCAGGCAGATGCTGTGCAGCCTCTGTAGAGGAGCCGAGTCAGAACCCTTTTGTTTCAAGTCCGCACAGGAAGTTTTGATGTTTCCTGTGTCTCCTCCTCCTCCTCCTCCTTTTCCTCCTCCTCCCCCCTCCAGCCCTCTGCCCAGCAGGCAGTGCATTTCCTGTGAGGATTGTGTGACGGACAGCGCATCAGTTGCAAAACAGAGCATAGGTAGAAAAAAAGGGGGTGGAGGGGGTGGGTGGTGGGGGGGTTTTGTCTCTCCGCGCCGTCGGCCTCAGGAGGCCGTTTTTCGGGCCCCGGGGGGTCGCCTCGTCCCCTCTCCCTCCCGTCCTCCCGCTCCGCAGGGCCGGGCCGGGCGGGTCGGGTCTGCCGGGGCCAGCCGCCCTCTCCTCCTCCTCCTCCCTCCTCCTCCTCCTCCTCCCTCCTCCTCCCTCCTCCTCCTCCTCCTCCCTCCTCCTCCTCCTCCTCCTCCTCCTCCTCCTCCTCCTCCTCGGTCCCTTCCCAGCCTTCGCTCTTCCCTCCCTGTCGTCGTGCCGCTGCCGCCGCTTTCGCTGCCGTCGGCCGCGTCGTCGTCGTCGTCGTCGTCGTCGTCGTCGTCGTCGTCGGTCGTCGTCGTCGTCGTCGTCGTCGTCGTCGTCGTCGTCGTCGTCGTCGTCGTCGTCGTCGTCGTCGTCGGGGTCGCCGCCGCTGCCGCTGGTGGCCTCCGCGTGGCCTCGTGCCGCCGCGTGGGGGAGAGCTGGCAAGCTGGCCCAGGAGCGTGCTCCTTGGGAGAGTGCGAAGCCCAGCCCTCGGAGGCATGCCGGCCGCGGCAGCCCCTCCGAGGCCAGTTGGGGTGCCCTCTCCCCCCGTCGTCGTCGTCGTCGTCGTCGTCGTCGTCGTCGTCGTCGTCGTCGTCGTCGTCGTCGTCGTCGTCGTCGTCGTCGTCGTCGTCGTCGTCGTCGTCGTCGTCGTCGTCGTCGTCGTCGTCGTCGTCGTCGTCGTCGTCGTCGTCGTCGTCGTCGTCGGGGTCGCCGCTGCCGCCGCAGGGGGCTGCCGCGTGCCCTCGTGCCGCCGCGTGAGGGAGAGCTGGCAAGCAGGCCCTGGAGCGCGCATCGGGGCGCCGAGGCCGCTGCCATCGGCCGCCGGGAGTCCTCGAGTCGCCGCGGGGGCAGGCCGTTGGAGGTCCTGGAGGTCCTTTCGGGCCTTCGGAGGCCCTGGGTGTTCCGTCGGGGGTCCTGATCGCGTCCCCGTTCCTCGGCTCTTGGGGTTTCCCTTGTCGCCCTGTCCGGTGGCAGCTCTGAAAACTTGTGCCTTCGGTCCTGGGGGTCTCTGCCCTTCCCCTTTCCCGCCTCCCTCCTTGCCCTCGTGTGCTGGCTTCTCTTCCTCCCTCCTCCCCGGCTCTAGTGAGAGGAGTGGCCAGGGGCTACATCTCAGCGTCCCTGGGGCAGCCATGGACAGCCTGCTGGGTGCTATCTGGGACGCTTTCCCGCATGAGAGGGGCTTCGGGCCTCAAGGAGACCAGGCGGCGGACGCTCTACTGCAGTTCAGGTGGCAGCAACTCCAGGAGGAGGCGCACAGGCTTATGTCCATGGCTAGGCGTGGGGAGCGCCCCCCGTCTTCTCAGTCCCTCTCCGAACTGCTTGCGTCCCTGAGGTGGGCGTTGGGGGTCCAGGTCCTCGGTTCACCCAGCGACAGAGCCTCGCCCGTGCTGGAGGGGGTGGGAGCGAGCACCCCCTCAGAAGTGAGGATTGGCGTAGGTTCGCCGAGTACCTTGGGATGCCTCTCCATTGATGGCTCCAGGGTGCGATGGGGTGTTTTCACAGATCGCAAAGCAGGCATCTTGGAAGCGTTCAGCCGGCTCAATCTCGTCGTGTTGGGGCTGCCAGGCGCACGCCTCACTGAAGGGGTCGTCATCCCGGGGCATGCCGACATAGGCATAGAGGCGCAGGGCGGCCCCTCCTACGCCAGTGTCGCTGTCATTTGGGACAAGGTCCGGCTCCCTTCGGCCAGCAAGGTAGCAAAGGTAGGTTCCAATCGTCGGCTGTGGCTGAGTACTCTCGATGCGCATGGGCTCTCGTGGTATTTCTGCACGGTCTACCTTCCACCTGTGCCCAAAAGGGGTCCAGACCATGAGTGGTTTCTCGAAGTAGACGGGCTTCACGAGGACGTGGAGGCACTTCTGGGGCCAGCACCTCTTCCAGACAGCGCTCGTGTGGCTGTCGGGACATCAACATGCAGCCGGAGGAGATTCACGGGGCTCGGGAGCCATCGCGAGCCCGCGCAATCCGCTGGTCACGTTTTGTCGCCACGTGGGGCTTCTCACTCATCAACCCTCCGTCCGGCCAGGGGCCTGCCTCCAAAGTGCGTCTGCCCCTCCGGGGCCGGAGCCTCGACCTCAGACCAGGGGACACCCATCACGGTGGGAACAGCGCGCGATGCATCGATGTAGTGATTGTTTCCCGGGCGGCCCACGGTGTAGCTCGAGTGCACAACGGACTATCCTGTCGAGGGGAGGGGGGGTGCAGCTGGGAAGAATGCGTGGAGTACACGTACGGGGACCATTTCCTCATCGACTTCACTGTCCCCCTTCCTCTTCCGCCGGCGTGCGACGGTCCAGGGGCCATTCGCATGCCGCGGTGGTGGAACTCTGAGGCTGCATGGGCCGAGGGGCTCGCCGTGGCCCGCCCAGTCCTGCAAGCGCATGCGGGCATTCTGCGGCATTACTGCGAGGATGAAGAGGGCAGCTCCCGTACGAGGAAACTAGGTCTGAGAGCGGCGCAGTGGTTGGCGGACGTGGCCGCCTGGCTGCTGCATCTCATTCTGGGTCTCGTCCTGGCGGGTTGGGTGGTGCCTCAGGCGGCTGCCTGCCCCCGTAGGCGCACTGGGACCCCGGCCCTGCGGGGCAAGGTGCGGTCGGCCATCGAAGGGCCGGGCACAGCTCAGGAACGTGCAGTAAAATGCATGCGGCTCCTACGCCCGAGGGGGCCCAGGCCAGCGCCCCGTTTGAGGGGACATGCTGGGGAGACCCTGTCTCTAGAAGCCTCGCGGGAGTCCCTGTGCCAACAGTTACGGGACCAGTCACAGTGGCCAGGTCCGTGGGACCTGGACTTCCATGTACATGTGCAGGGCACTCTGCCCGGGGTTCAAGGCCAAGCACGTGCCTACCGTGGGCGCGGGTCGCGCGATGCCCCGGTAGAGCTGTGGGAAGTCGAAGTTTCTCTGTCCACCATGGGCAGCACAGGGGCCACGACGCCAGACCTGGTGCCGCGTCGCGCCCTTAAGCTGGGTGACACGGTTCTGCTGAAGGCTGTCTGGTCGGCCCTGCGTCTGACGGGCCCGGGGTGCCTCGCTCTTCGACCAGCGGCCTGGAGGGGCAGCTGCGCCGTCCCTCTGCACAAGGAGGGCCCGCTGGACAAGGGGGCCTCTTTCCGGCTCATCATGGTAAAATCACAGATGGGCCTGCTGCAGGAGATGCTGCTCCACCAGAGGCTCGCGCAGCAACTCCGCGCGTCCATTTTCCCAGGCCAAAGCGGCTACGTGCGAGACGTGGGAGACGCCCACCTTGTCCTCCACGAGCTCGCGGCAGGGGCGAAGGGAGCAGGCCGGCCTCTTTGGGCGGTTTTCGGGGACCTTCAAAAGGCCTTTCCCCGGACCTGGAGGGAGGTGCTCCTCTTACGTCTTCATGAAAAGGCCGGTGTGCGTGATGGCATCTTCTCGCTTCTGGCGAGCATGCTCGCTTCGGACACGATCCATGTCAACTTCAACGGAGTCTCCACTGTTTCCATTGACCAAGGGATTGCCGACGGGGGAACGCTGGGTCCCCTGACCTTTCCTGTATACATGGACTCTCTCCCAGAAGCCTTACACAAGGCAGGCTGCGGAATCGGAGTAGGAGTCCGCGTTCCGTGCGCCTGGGTCGGCTGCTCGTGGCGGGGCACAGGCATGCCCGATCCTGTTCAGACCGCCGAGCTCACCAGAGCACTCCGCGAGGGCGCGCAGCTCCCTCGGGCAGCGGATCTAGAAGCCGATCTTACGCTGGAGGCCTCTGCTCTGGCCGCACTGGATGCCACCGCGCCATTGCGCCTCGCTGCAATTCTACACGCGGACGACCCGGTTCTGCTCTCTTCCACTCGGGGAGGAGCGCAGCTCGCGCAGAATGCTCTAGCCGAGTGGGCTTTTGCTCACAAAGCCAGTCCGCATACCAAGCCCTCCAAACACGCTGTTGTAGTGCATGGCTCCCCGGAGTCCCGGAGGGCAGGGGCGGCAGCAGCTCCCCTTGTGCTACCGCTCCGGGGAGGGGCGCCTATTGAACTAGGGCTCAAAGACACACACCAGTGGCTCGGGCTACTCTGGTCTGGTGACCTCGACTTCTCGAAACTGCTCGATGCAAGGCTGGGCGCCGCTTCCGCACAGTGCGCCTCCCTCGCGGGGCATGTTGCTGCCGGAGTCCTTCCGCTCGCTGTGGCGGTTCGCATCTTCGAGACCCAGATCGAAGGCGCACTGCGCTTCGGGCGCTGGATGTGGGCAGTTGCGGAGGGGGCGTCGGACAAGCTTGAACAGAGCTATGGAGCGTGGGCGCGCGCCTTTCTGGGCTGTCCGCCCTGGCGAGGGCAGGCCCTCGCTCCCTTGGAGTTGGGCTGGGCTCTCTCCGGGCCTGCCAGGGCCGTGTACGAGGTGGCCTCCTGGCGGGCCGGTCTCTGGAGGCTCCCCGACGCAGATCTCTACAAACGGGTTTTCCTGCAGGCCCACGGGTCAGAGGGCCGCACCTGGGCGCAGCTGTCGCTTGCCCTCCTCGAGGCTTGGTCCATCCCGGATTGGCCTGCTTGGGAGGGCATGTATGGAGGGTCGTCCCTGCACGCATACAAGGTCCACGTCCGGGCCCTCCTGAAGGCGCGGTGCGGGGAGGAACTACGGAGGCAGGCGGGCGTGCTCCAGAGGCCGCTTCCGGTCCTTGCTCTCGGCCCAGTCCCCAGGACGGACCTGGCCGGGGCCCTCAAGCTAGGGTTCCCTTTCGAAGTGCTACTGGGCCAGCGCTCGCTCAGCAGGCTTCGGGGGCGGTTGGTCGCCCTAGGGCACTCTTCTGGTTCCCTCTCTTCGGCACGGAGGCAAATGTGTGTGCTCTGCGGGGAGCAGTTTCTGAGTCCAACCTTCCATGTTCTCGGGAGCTGTGGCAGTACGGAGTTCCCCAGGCGCGCTTTCTGGGAGGCCCGAGGGTGCACAGCTCCCTCCTCCAGAGAGGCTGCGGCCACGGCGATTCTGTCGGCTGCCCCGGCAGACGCGGGGTACAAGGAGGCGGCGCTGCTTGCGCTCCACGTGGAGAGGGAGGTGGATCGCTTCTGGGCATCCGCAGGCAACAATTACCTCCCCCCTCCCGCCCTCCCTCCCCTCTGCCCGGGGCACTGAGGGGGTTGTTTCCTGGTCTGCTGCTCGTTTTTGGGGTCTCTTCGTGGTCACGGCAGGATTCGCCTGGAAATTCTGGTCTGGTGTTGGAGGCTTCGGCTTCGGCATCTTTCGCCCCCCAGTCTCCTGGCAGGCGGGTCGGGTCGGGCTGGATCCTCCCCTCCCTGGGGTGGCTTCCTCTCCCTCCTCCTGTCACCGTCCCGTACCTGCGGGGTACGTCGACCAGGCAGCGTGGGGGGATCGGACGAGCCCCAGGCAGGTGCTCCCTGCCTGGCCCCCCCCCACATATGGCGGGGAGTCTCTGAGTTGCCTCTTCTGCTTCGCCCTGGCCGGGGTTTCGGGCGGAGGTCCTTGTTGGAACTGTGGGAACTTTCAAAGGCTTGCACGGTTTTCCAGGGTCGGTTCTGTGCGCCGCCCTCTTGACTCCGCGCAGGTCTTGGAAAGTGCACAGCTCTTACCAACCCTCCCCTCGACCCCTTCAGAGCTGGCGATCTGTCTTCCAGAGCCGTCGCAGCAAGGTCGCTTCCGAACCCTCCCCGGGTCGTGGCCCCTTGCTAAAAGGAAGTCTCGTCCGAAGCTTCCGCCGCCAGCTCAAAGGGAGCACACCATCCATCCATCCTTTTCCTGGTCTTCCTCCTCTTCCTCCTCTTCCTCCTCCTCTTCCTCCTCCTCCTCCTCCTCTTCCTCCTTACCCCCTGTCGTGCGGGGTGGCGCTACAGCGCACGTGCGCAATTCAGCGCGCAGTGCACCGCATAATTGTCTATTGAATCGGTCCACTTGCTTCTCGCACGGCCAATTGAGCTGGAGCCTCCTGGACGCAGATGGGATAAGTTAGGGTGATGCGGGCGGACTCGGGAGAACCCGTAGATTCCAGCAGCGCTCCTTTGTCCATACATAATCCTTTTTATTGTTTTCTGTGGAACCCACAAGCTCCATTTTGTCATAAGGATTCCTTCTAACATTATATATGCAAGTGTGGCGTTGTGTTACACATGGTTGCCGTGGTGCACACAGGCGCCGTGGTGCACACAGGCGCTGCAATGCACACAGGCATTATGGTGTACACTGGTGCTGTGTTGCACACGGCTGCTGTAGTGTACGCAGGCGCTGCGGTGTACACAACAGCTGTTGTGCCCGCGAGCGCGGTGGTACAAACTGACGCTGCGTTGCACGCGGCTGCCGTGGTGTACGTAGGCGGTGTGGTGTACACAGGCGCTGTGGTGCACGCAGGCACTGTGGTGTACACAGGCGTTGTGGTGCACATCGCCACCTACATGCTGGTGCTACCCGTCCTCGGTCATTCCTAGGCATTCCCAGACGCCGCCGGCGCGAAACATGATGTCATCGACCCCCTCCACACCCCCTCAGATGATTGCGGTGATCGGCCCGGAACAAATAACAGGATCCAGCCGCGTCCGCGCGCACGACGACGATGAGCGACGAGCCACGAGCGATGAAGACGACGACGACGACGACGACGACGACGACGACGACGACGACGACGACGACGACGACTGCGGACCAGACTTCTATGCGGATTCCTGTGCGGACACCTACGCCCTACGCGGATCCCAGCGCGCACGGCGGCAGTGCCCGGAGCGCACTGGGGGGGGGGGGGCGTTACGTCATAGGGGGGGAGTGGGGTCCATGACGCCCGTCATGCCCCAAGCAATAAAGAAATGGTCTCTACGCAATATTCTTCTGGTTCTTGGCGATCAAGCACGTCCATACACTTCTCCGGCAAAGCCGCGGGAGAGGACTCCGAGAGAGAGAGTGAGAGAAGCCGTGCACGTCAGAGGTGCATTGGCATAAGGGGGGTGAAACAACAGCGACCGGCGATGCGAAGCCTCCGGCGTCGCCAGCTCCATGCACAGGGAAAGCTCACACATCTTGACATGCATACCCCACTCGCCAAAATTGCCCGCAAGGCGGACGACCCGGGAGAGCAACCGCAGCAAGGAGGCAGAGGAGAGGACGATACTTTGGAGTCCCGAGACGGTGCGGTGACAGACCGTGCGGTGACCTCGGAACCCCAAGAGACATCACCGCACGGTCCGTCACCGCACGGTCTTGGGTCCCCGGAGGCCCCTGTCGCCCGAGACGTCCTCGGAGAACGATCCGAGCCCCAAAACCGTGCGGTGACCCCGAATCCCCACCGACTCACCGCACGGTGTGGTCACCACCCCGTTTGGGGACCCCCGAGATACCCGGGGTCCAGGACGAGCCCGGAGCCGGGGGGAGGAGGAGGAGGAGGAGCAGGGGGAGGAGGAGAGGAGGAGGAGAAGGAGGAGGAGGAGGAGGAGGAGGAGGACAGGCGACGACAGGGGGGAGGGGGAGGAGGGCGACAGCCCGGGCGACGGCCCGAGGCACGAGCAGCATGGGCGAGCAGGCCGAGGCGGGCAGGACGCTCGGCCCACGCGCTCCCTGGCACGGCCGACGTCCCGCCGTCGCGCACCCGACGTTCCTGCAGCTCCCGCTCCTCCTCCTCCTCCTCCTCCTCCTCCTCCTCCTCCTCCTCCTCTGCATCCTCCTCCTCCTCCTCCTCCTGCTCTTCTCCGGCTCCTGCAGCAGCGACCCGCAGAGCGCGCTCTCGGCGCGCTCCCGGACCCGGCTGCCGAGGTCGTCCGCCCGCTCCTGCGCGCCCCTCGCGGCGGTCTCGAGCCGCGCGATGGCCTCGCGGGAGCACCCCTCCGCGGGAGGGCGCCAGCTGCACGCCCGCACCCAGAGCTGGCCGGGCCCACCCCCTGGGCCTGTGGACCGCTGCTCGTAGGAGCACAAGTCCACCCCTGCGGCAGAAGGCCCCCCACAGCTCTTCGCCCATGGGTCACAGAGGGGGGCACAGACGGAGACACCTAAGTTAAACGAGTGCAAGCGAAGAGTTCTACCATGGGAATGCTAACAGGATGCGACTGCGTACCAAGCCTCACCGTGCTACTAGCACGAACGACACTAAGTACTGCGACGGGAGGCCACAGGAGGCCAAGGCACCCGACCGATTCCAAAGCCAGCGATGCCCGTACTATCCGAGTGGAGGCCACGGGAGGCCCAGGCGCCCGACCGATTCCAGGTCCGACGATCCCCGTAGCCGGCCTCTTCGAAACAACAATACTGTGCCGTGATGAGAGATTGCCCCACTTTGACGGGCCGGCAAGACTGCACCCTGCGTCCGCAATGCGAGCACACGTCGCCAAACGCCCCGCTAGGGACGTGGAGCGTGGTGCAATGTTACGGGGAAGGTGCCTCGCTTTCGGGGCGGACGACCTGGGGTTTGGTATCCTAATTCGATTCTTATTGCGCCAAACGGGATGGCGGTTCGAAAATGGCAAACCGCGTATGGCATCCTCACTAAAATGGCCGTATTGACGGTTCGAACTCGGTTCGAAACAATAGAATCCAGTTCGCAACAAAAGCAATATGAACGTTTCGCGTGGGACTTCCTTCAAAATACGGCGTCCGACCTGGTTCGAAACAAAAGGATGGCGGTTCGAAAACGGCAAACCGCGTGGGACATCCTCACAACAATTGCTGTCTTGACGGTTCGAACTCTGTTCGAAACAATAGAATATGGTTCCAAACATTTCGAAAACGAGCATTGCGCTTGGGACTTCCTTCAAAATACGATTGGAACCTGGTTCCGCACAGTAGGATGGCAGTTCCAAAATGCCAAACCGCGTGGGGCGTCCTCGCCAAAATGGCTGTCTTGACGGTTCCACATCGGTTCTAAACAAGAGATGTGGGCTCCGAACAAATGGAAAACGAGCGTTTCGCTTGAGGAGTCCTTGGAAATACATATGGAATCTGGCCCCAAACAGGTCCCAAACAAAAGAATCGCGCGGGACATCCCCTGCAAATGGCGTGCGCCGCCCCATTGCAAAAAACAACGGCCGCGGCGACGACGACGACGACGACCACGACGACGACCACGACGATATGTGTTCTCGCCTCGCCGCCGGCCACGCTTGGCCGCGTCTCGGTCTGGCCGACCTCTCTCCCTTCAGGAAGGAGAAGCCCACGGGGCGGCGCTTCCCCCCTGCGGGAGGGGGACGTGCCGGGGGAGACAAAGCCACCCTCACCCGGGGGACATACTGCTCTCACCCGCAAACACGGACATTTAGGAGCCAAGCCGCCCGTCTGGGCTACCTTTTTGCTGGTGTCGCTCGTTCGGCCCTGGGCACTATTGGGAAAATCAACATGTTTTGAATCAAATACCCTTCTTCCGTTTTTTGTTGCCAATTCTTTTTGTTTGCTTTGACCCGGGCTCCAAGGTCCAATCCAGTAGTCGCAACACAGCCTTTTAGCAGTAAATGCGCGTGTGGTCGCAACAGTCTCGATTCCGATTGTAAATCCAATGCACATTCATTCAGTTTGTCCTTGCTGCAATTTTCTGGACAAGCAGGAGGAAGGCGGGGTGGAAGGATGAGGGAGGAGCTTGCGTCTATCAACTTTCAGGGTAGATTGATATTGTCGTGCTCTGCGTGCTTGAGCTGCTTGTCAGCAATGGTGTTCGCCGGCAACGTGGCGTTCACAAGCGGCTGGGTGCTCACAATCACATTGGTGCTCAAGCGTTGCTGGACTCAGGAATTACTGATCCGGCTCCGAGGCCCAATCCAGCATTCAAAACATGGCCTTCTAGAGGTAAGCGCGCATGTGGTCGCAACAGTCTCGATTCTTACCGCAAATCCAATAGACATTCACCAATGTTGTCCTCACTGCAACTTTTCGGACAACTTGGAGGGAGGAGGGGGGGTGGAAGGATGAGGGATGAGCGTACATCGATCAACTTTCAGGGCTTATCGATTTTGTTGTGCTCTGCGTGCCTGCTGTGCACTGTCAAATTGGCGGTCACAGGCGGCAGCGTGCTCATCGTCACAGTTGTGCTCAGGCGTTGCTGGGTTCAGGTAGCACTCATTCAGCTCAGGCCGAATGCAAGCGGCAAATAAAGACTCTCTTGGCAGAAATGCGTGTGTGTGGTCGCATCAGTTTCGATTCTTATCGCAAATCCAAAACACATTCGTCCAGCTTACCGTTGCTGCAACTTTTTGGGACCATTTTGAGGGAGGCAGGGTGGAAGAATGAGGGAGGGGCTTGGCGATGTGGTTGCCACAGGCATCTGGGTGCTCACAGTCACTGGGGGACTCAGGCGCTGCTGGGCCCAAGTAGCACTGATGGCATTTCAGTGCAACCAGCTCCACGTCACAACGACACAGATGGCAGCACCCCCTCATGTAACAACGGAATTTTAATGCATAGTAGCCTTTACCTCGGCTATGCCGAAAAAGGGCCAAACTTTACTCACGCACATGTATATAAGACCTCACAGACCATCAATCTAGGAACAACTGCATCCACAGAATCTGTCGATGTCTGCGCGGATTTATTGGGTCAGCGCCGAACGCACCCTGGCGGAGCCTCTGGCGCCGCCCCTGGCGCCTGGGGCGGCAGGTAAAGCGCCGACCCACGACATCTGCGCGGACCTCCGCATATGCACGCGCCATTGCTTGTTCGAGTGCATGCCTTCCTGGCATGGCCAGGGGAGGTTGGCGGCGCGCACAACAGGGGGGGGCACGAGGAAGCGGCCCTCTAAGAAACCTGGAAGGCTTCTAGAAGAAGCCAGGACTCCTTAGAAGCCCACCCCGCTGCTGGGAAATCTTCTCGGAAGCCCCAGGGCCCTTCTAAGAAGGCCCCTGCCCTCCATGGAGAAACAGAACACGGCATAAATATTGACGCTCGGAGCTCCGCGCGGATTACATGATCGGCGCTGGAGGCGCTTCCAGGGAGGCCCAATACCGATCCAAGAAATTCACGCTTCGATCGGAGAAGGCCACCCCCTCACCTCGCGCCGCTCCCTTGTTCGGCCGCACGCAAACTTCAGGGAAGGTGCGAGGGGGCGAAAACCAAGCGCGCCAGCCGCTGCTACATACAGCATCTCGCTCGGCGATAGGAGAGCACCCTATACCCGTAGGCCCACACCACCTGTCACTCTAGCGAAGGGTCACTCTTACGTGTAGTCGACCTGCGCACGCCGCGAAGCCTTCGTGGCTCAGGCGAGGGGAGACGCACACACCGACCCTGCGGCCCAGGAGGCGCCCGGCCAGCGCCCGCTGGTGTGCCGCCGGCGCTCTCTGGCGCCTCCAAGCGCGACAGGGCCGCGACCAGGCGCAAGACCGTCCTCAGGTCGATCTGCGCCTCCTGCACGGACCTCTCCGCCTCCCTCTCAGAGGCCTCCCAGACGGGGTCCGAGCAGATGGGGTCGGAGGCTTGCACCGCGTCGCCGATGCATCGCCGATCTACCACCGATGCATCGGCGACGCCAGCAATGCGGCGCGATCCTCCGACCCCCCCCACTCGGGCCCCCTCTGGGAGGCCTAGGCCTCTGGAGGTCCGCGCGAGCGCCCTCGGCCTCCAGATACCGGGCCGCGGCGGCGGCCGCCCCGGACACCTTCTCCGCCGCGCCGGCTAGCCGCTCCTCGGCCTCGGCCACCGCCTTCCGGCCCGCCAGCTGGCGGTCGATCGAGCCCGGGAGCCGCCTGTGCCTGGCGATCTCCGCCTGGCCGTCCGCCAGCCTGGCCTGGAGCCGCGCGAACACCGCGGCCGCCTCCGCCTGCGCCTCCGCCTCGCCGATGCGGCCCCTGGCCTCGAGCTGCTTGGACGCCACGAACCTCCGCGCCTCCGTCAGCGCCCGGGTGGCCTCCCGCTCCCGCTCCGTCACCCGCGCGACCGCCTGCCGCAGCTGCTCCGCGGACATGGCCTCCGTCGCTGGGCCGTCCGCCAGCAGCGAGGCCGCCTCGCGCAGGGCGGCGACCAGCGCCTCCACGCTCACCACGGAGGCCTCCGCGCCCTTTGCGACGCCTTCCAGCCGCTGCCTCGAGATCGTGCCCAGCAGCTCCGTGAGCCTCGCGCTTGGCTCCTCCAGCTCCTGCTGCATGCCCTTCAGCTCCGCGGTGGCCTCGGCCTCGACCACCTCGGAGAAGCGGCGGACCTCGACGAGCTTCATCTGCAGGCACGTCCGCGCCATCCTCAGCGCCGTCTTGACGCTGGCGCACGCAGCCTCGCAGGGGCCGACGTCGGTGGCGCCCGCCTCGAAGAATGGTGGGATGAGGCCAAATCCGCTCAAGATCGGTCTCGCGACCACTCCCGGGGTCCGTCTGGTGCAATTTTGCACACCAGATCCGTTCTGCACGGTCCCGGGGCCCGAAAACGGCCTCCAGAGGGAGGCAAGGGAAAAACGGCAAGAAACGTCACGAGCCCAAAACCTCGCGCTGGCCTCGAGGAGGTCGTTGAGGTCCTTGGTGACGGACGCCACCCTGCTCGAGGCCTCCTGCAGGTGGCCGCGCGCCTTGTCCCGCTCCTCCGCCTGCCTGACGGCGGCCCGCAGCCCCCGCAGGCGCTCCCTCGCCGCGGCGCCCTGCTGCTGCAAGTCGGGCAGCTCCGCGATGTCCAGGCCCTCGGCGCCCCTGCCCTTGGCGTCCAGGAAGCGCATGGTCGACTCGACCTGCTCCTGCAGAGGAAGGGAAACGGCTTGAACATGAACCTCCGGAACTCCGCGCGGAGTTGCTGGATCTGGCGGCGACGCCCCCTGGCGCGCTCGGCGTGCCGAGGAAGAGGCCCAGCGCAGATCCAAGACATCCGCGCGGACCTCCAAACATTTGCGATGTTCATGCGGCTTGCTCTTCTTCCATCCTCCGCGGCCCGGAGCTGGCTCATGGCGCCCGCGAGGGCCTCCTTCGCCGGGGTGCCGTCCCTGAGGAGTGCCACCGCCGCCTCGGCCCTGTCCGCTTCCGCCTCGGCGCTGGCGAGCCTCCTGGTGGCCTCGGCCGCCGCCTTCTGCCCCCGGACCCCCTTCTCCCAGTCCTGCCAGGCCGACTTGAGCGGACCCAGGCGCTGCTGGCCGGCGCTCAGCTGCTGCCGCAGCCGCTGCATCTCCTTCGCAGCGCGCTCCTTGGCGGCACGGGAGCAGAGCCGGCTCCACTCGGGCAGCTTCGCGTCGAGGAACGCGCGAGCCCTGGCGACGGCCGCCTGCGCCTCGCCCGCGGAGGCCGTGGTGTCCTGCACCGCCTGTCGGATGACGTCCTCGTCGTCGCCACAGCTGCTGATCATGTCCCACGTGATCTCGGCCTTCTCGACCATGTCCTCGAGAACCAAAATCTCTCTTTCTCTCTCGTTCTCTCTTTCTCTCTCTCTCTCTCTATCTCTCTTCCTTTCTCTTTCTCTCTCTTTCTCCTTCTCTCTCCTTCTCTCTCTCTCTCTCTCTCCCCCACGCACACAAACACACTGTCCCTCCAACGGCGAGGTGGCTACACCGTCGCGACGCGCTAGGCCAGGAGATGCTTACACGAACTTCCGCCCACCCACACACACACACATAAATGCACACACGCGCACAAGCAATCCAAGGTCAGAGCGGATCTCTTGGGTCGGCGCTGCATTCGTCCTCCCTCCTCCCCACAGCCCGTCCCCGGCGCACGATTCGCGCTGGAGCGCCGCCAGCGTGTGCGTGGCGAGGGGGGGAACCAGCGCCGACCCGAGACGTCCGTGCGGACCTCCGAACTCTCGTGCTCACATTCGCAGAGCTCATAAATCACTGCAAAACCAGAGACTGTCGGAGGTCCGCAGCAGAATTCCTTCATCCGCGCTGGACCGCTGGAGCGCGCCATGGGCGGCGCTGGAGGCGCCGCCAAGGGGAGCCAATGCCGACTCAAGAGACCCACGCGGAGCTCCGAAGGTTCGGTCATCAACTTTCCAGGATAGGCCCCGCGCTGCCTCGCGCACTCCCACCAAATGTCCGCGCACGCGGGACCCACTCAACATGAATGCATCTCTCTCCTCCCGGTTGCTGCGCGCACCTCGTCTTGGCGCCGTCCGTTCGGCGGCGCCGATGTTATCTCGCACGCTCATCATCGCCATTCTCACCTGTCGGGACATCTTTCGTCCAACGTAAAAGCTTTGGAGCCTTCAACGTCCTCGGCTCTGCTGGTCAGCTCTGACGCCTCCACCAGGATGGCGTCCACCACCTCTGGTCGCACGCGCGAGGCGGGGGGGCCGGCGCAAGAGGGGCGCGGCCTTCTGAGAGGGCGCGGTGCTGCTCAGAAGGCAGGGGCATCCGACGGGCCCAGGAGCTCCTGAGTTGGGCGTTGCTTAATACTGGGGGCCAAGAAGTGAGGCGGGAGCGAAGAAACGTGGACATTTCGTGCACTTCGCGGGCCCTTTAGGACACCCCTGGGTGCACAAACGGTGCACCTTTCCTCGGCCCCTACCCATCACCCCCCCCATTACGCAACGCCCGACTGCGAAAGCGCCTCAAAAGGCCGGGAGGGCTTCTTCTGGGAAGGGAAGCCCCTGCCTTCCAAGAGGGCCCCCGCCTCGCCGATTGCCCCCCGTGCGCGCGCCGTCGAAGCTAGCAGCTAGAGGAACAACGAGAGCATAACATACTTTCCTGGAGGTGCGCGCGGATTTCTTGGATCGGCGCTGGACCCCCCTCCCTAGCGCGCGGAGGCGCCGCCAGGGGGGCCCAACCCCGATCCAAGAAATCCGCGCGGATCTTCGAAGAATCAAGCACGCTGTGCCCTCTTTGCTCCGTTTGTTCGTCGGGAAGCGCCTGCTGGTCCTGGCTCTCGGCCTCGCGCTGCCTCTCCTCGTCCTCCGCGGCCTCCCGGGCGGCGTGCAGCGCCTCCAGCGCCTGCGCCACGCTGCCAGCCGTGGCCTGCAGCCTGCCCACCAGGTCCCTCAGCGCCTCGGACAGCGCCGAGGGCTCGGCCTCGGCGGCCCGCTCGGCCTCGCAGAGCAGGTCCCGCGCCGCGGCGCGGTGCCTCTCCAGGTCGGCCGCCGCCGCCGCAAGCGCCTGGGCGCCCGCAGGGGCGCCCTCCTCCCCGGCGGCCGCGGCCCCGGCCAGCGCCACGCCCTCCCCGATCTCGTACTCCAGCCTGGCGGTCTCCTGGCTGAGCCTGTGGAACGCGGCCTCCGCGTCGGCCCTCTCCTTGGCCCTCTTGTTCGCGACGTGCAGGGTCTTGGACACGCCGCCGTCCCACGGCATCCTCCACCCCTGCTCCGGGGGCGACTCGCCCGGGCCCGACTCCTTGCAGTGCGACCACACCTGCGAGCCGCCGAGCTTGTTCCCGATCCACCAGCCCTCGTTGCTCTCGCCGTCCCTGCCGTCCCAGTAGTCCGTTGCCGTGCCCCCTGGCACGTCGAGGCGTGGTGGAATGCCAGATGCTGTCCGGCAGGGTTCTTGTCGGAGGCTGGGGGGTGAGATCGCACTGGCGCAATGGAACGGAGAGCCCCCCACCGGGAAATTGGTTTCGGTTTCGTGGTCGTGCCGCGCGTGCGGGCGAGGCGAAGCTGCGTGGGCGCGGGAGAGGAATGATGCCGCCGTGGCCACGGGCTGTGGAGTCGGCTGTCCGCGCCTCCCCCCCCCCGGCGCGCGGTGGCCAGGGGTGTCCCGTCGGTGGCGCGGGGGGTCTCGACGGCGGCTCCAGGCGTCCCGCCGTGGTGTCTCGATGGTAGCTCGTGAGATCAGTTGTGAGATCGATGGTGAGGTCGGGTGCGTGATCGGTCGTGATCGAAAAAACATCGCGGGATCGAGAGACCGATCAGGAGATCGATGGTGAGATCGATAGCGAGATCGATCACAACAGGTCTTTGGCTGGAGGTGCCCCGCCGTGGTTAGGGGTGTCCCCTCGTGGTGTCCCGATGGTGTCTCGCTTGCGAGGTCGATCATGAGATCTCTTGTGCTATCGATATTGATATCGATAGTGAGATCGATGGTGAGATCGATGGTGAAATCCGAAGTGATATCGATCGGAAGATCGAGAGATCGATAGTGAGATCGATCATGAAATCGGTAGTGACATTGATCACAACAGATATATTTGGTTGGGGGTGCCCCGCCGTGGCTGGAGGTGTCCCATCGTCGTGTTCCGATGGTGTCTCGTGAGATCTCTTGTGAGATCGATGGTGAGATCTCTTGTGAGATCGATACTGAGATCTATAGTAAAACCGTGAGTGAGATCAATCGATTGTAGTCGATTGCGAGGTCGCACTTACGTGGTGTGAGCTCCATTGCGGCTGCGTCGCCTTCATAGCAATCACCATTATTCATTCTCACCATCAGCGTCATCGTGCAATGTCGCCATCTCATCGCCATCGCAGTCATCGCAGTTGTTGTTAGTGGGTTCTCCTCCCCCCCACAACCTCCATGCCACTCGAAGGGTGGTCGTATAGGTAATCGTCTGAAGGCTCCCGCCCCTTCTCGTCGCATCCATCTGCATGCCTCCCCCTCAAAAGATTCCCGAAGCTTCCCAGGCTGCCAGACGGCCTCGGGCGCTCTCCAAGACGGCCCGAGTTGGCCCAAGATGCCTCCCAAACGGCCTCAGGTAACCCTAAGATGACCTCGAGACGGCCCAAGAGGCCTCCAAGACGGCCAGGAGGGCTCCAAGAGAACCTCCAGCCAGGCCCGAAGAGACCAAAATCAGTGATGTTGCTGTTGTTTCTGTATGATGTTCGCATTCTCGCCTGTTCGGGCTTCCGTCGGCTGAAGACGGCCCAAGATGCCTTCAAGATGGCCCCACGACGGCCCAACATGGCAGCAAGATCGCCCAAGTGGCCTCCAAGACGGCCTCAAAACAGCAAAAGACAACCCCTGGACAGTCCAGGACGGACCCAAGAGGGCCTCAAACTGGCCCAGAAAGGGCCTCCAGATGGGCCCAGGGCGGCCAAAGAGACCCCTGAACGGCCCACGACGGTGCCAATAGACCCCCTGGACGGCCACGAAGGCCCCACGTCTGCCCCGCCGTTTCCCCTCGCCTCTTCTCCCCCCCCCCCCTCGCTCTTCCTACCCCGCCGAGCACAGGCAGAGATGCGGGCGAGCTGGCGCGAGAGCCAGCGCGCTGCCCTGTGTTCCCCTATCCTCTCCCCTGTCGCCTTGTCGCTCGTTTCCCCCTCTGTGCTCGTGTCCTCGTCGTCGCCGCCGTCCTCCGAGTTTTCGGAGCTGGCGCGGGGCTATCTCTGAGCCGACGCCAGGCGCCTCCAAAGAGTTCTCTTGTTCGTGCCCGCTGGGGGTGAAAGCCACGTCGCATCCCGCGCTTCCTAAGGCTTATTTTTTCTGGCGTCCTCTATGGTAGCATGATGAATGCAAGACGGCCCAAAGACAACCGAAGAGGGCCCCAAGGGACTCCCAACGGCCCAGATGAGGGTTCCTCGAGACGTGACGGCGACAGGTGTCACATGTGTCGGCTCTCGTCCTCTTCTTCTTCTTCTTCTTCTTCTTCTTCTTATTTTCCTTCCTCCTCAATTTCTCCTCCTTATATGCAGCTCCCCCCTGCCGCACCCCGAAGCCAGTCGAAGGGCGGGCCGGGCGGGTCGCCTAAGACCTCCTTACCATTTACGATACTGGGGCTTAAACCTTGGCAAAAGCTTCGCAGATGGAGGGCGGGTGGCTTTCAATATGTGGCTCTCGCCTTAGCGCCGCGCACAACCGTCTCAACAAATTGCAGGAGTTTCACGGATTGATGGCGGGACGTTTTCAAAATGTGGTTATCGCCTTAGCGCCGCGCACATTCGTGCTGAAAACTTGAAAGAGTTTCGCGGATTTAGGGCGGTTCCTGCGTAAAAGGTGGATCTTGCCTTAGCGCCGCGCAAACTCGTCTTGAACATTTGCAAACGCTTCACGGGCTCTCATGGTTAACGTATATACCAGTGACTGTGTTTCGGCACGGTTCAGGAGTGTCAAGGCGCAACAGTAATAGTGATCAGCGGCGTTGAAGTCCCAGGAATGGTGTCCTGGCACAGTTCAAGATGTACAAACGGTTGTCTTCCAACAGGGCACTTCCCTCAATAAAAATGAATCCTAGCAGGGGCCTATGAAGAGGGCACTTGGAGGGAGGGATGACTCCAACATCGTCGATGAGTCTTGGATTTACACTGGTCCTCCTCCTCCTCCTCATCCTCCTCCTCATGAGCATCGCCACCATCCTCGTCATCGTCCTCCTCGTCATCATCATCAACATCATCGTGTTTGTTATCCCCATCGTCCGTTACAATCCTGTTGATCAAATCCTCATCCGCCTGCTCAGCCTCCCATCATCATCACCATCCTTATCACCACCACGACTACCATCATCATCATCATCAGCATTAGCATCATCATCAGCATCCTCATCCTCATCCTCATCCTCATCCTCATCCTCATCCTCATCCTCATCCTCATCCTCATCCTCATCCTCATCCTCATCATCATCATCATCATCATCATCATCATCATCCTGATCCCGATCCTCATCATCATCATCACCATCATCATCATGACCATTATCCTCGTCATCGTCATCAGCAGCACTATGATCATCATCAGCATCAGCATCAGCATTATCGTCATCATCCATCATAATCATCCTCCTTAGCGTCATCAGTATCATCAGCATCATCGGAATCGTCAGCATCATCATCAGGTGCATCAGCATCAACAACATCAGCATCAGCATCCGTATCTTCATCCTCATCATCAGCAGCAGGACCATTATCAGTATCATCATGATCATCAGCAGCATCAGTATCCTCATCCTCATCGTTATCGTGTTCGTCATCATCAGCATCACCATCATCATCCTCAGCCTCATCATCATCCCCATGGTCATCCTCATTGTCATCGGCATCCGCATCCATATCCTTATCCTCATCATCACCACCATCAGCATGATGATCAACATCGGTATCATCATCCTCATCCTCATCCTCCTCCTCCTCATCGTCGTCGTCATTATTGTCACCGTCATCCTCATCGGTTCGAGGAGCTGCCACCGAGAATGCTGGGCCAGCACGATGGCGGGACTTGCCGCAGCCAACTCGATAGATGAGGACGTCAACGAAACTTTTGCTGTCCCTGTCCTGGACCTTCTGGTAGACCTTCCGCCCGTGGCTGACACCCCTCTCGATGTACTCCCCGACCACGGTCTTGATGGCGGCCTTGTGCACGTCACGGCCAGTGGTACACGGGAGGCCAGAAGAGCACGCAACGGAAACTATCCTGGCGAAGGGCCCAATCATATGCAGTTGTGAGTACCGCGGTTGTGATTATCTCCTTCGGTGGAGCTCCCTGGCCGCATGCGAACGCAGCCACTTGGGCGTCTGGTGGAGGGAACCACGAAACGTGTGAGGGGTGTGCCGAAATGGGGTGGAACCGCATGAGAACGCCTTGGGTGGAGTTCCTTATGGGGCCACAAAGCGTGTGAGGGGTGTGCCAAAATTGGCGGTGGAACCGCATGCGAAAGCAGCCACTGGGGCCTTCGGTGGAGCTCCCTATGGGGCCAAAACGCGAGCGAGGGGTGTGCCGAAATGGGGGTAGAACCGCATACGAACGCAGCCGTTGGGGCCTTCGGTGGAACCTTCTTCAGGGGCCACGAAGCGTGTGATGGGGGGTGCGAAATTGGGGGTGGAACCGCATGCGAACGCAGCCGCTGGGGCTTTCGGTGGAGCTCCCTATGGGGCCACGAGGCGTGTTAGGGGTGTGCCGAAAAATGCGGGTGGAACCACATGCGAAAGCAGCCACTGAGGCCTTCTGTGAAGCTCCTTATGGGGCCACGACACGTATGAGGGGCGTGCCGAAATGGGGGTGGAACCACATGCGAACGCAGCCGCTGGGGCCTTCGGTGGAGCTCCCTATGTTGCCACGAAACGTGTGAGCGGTTCCCGGAAATGAGGTGGAACCGCATACGAACGCAGCCACCGAGGCCTTCGGTGGAGCTCCCTATGCGGCCATGAAACGTGTGAGGGGTGTGCCGAAATGAGGTGGAACCGCATGCGAACACAACCACTGGGGCCTTCGGTGGAACCTTCTTATGGCGCCACGAAGCGTGTGAGGGATGTGCCGAAGTGGGTTGGAACCGCATGCGAACGCAGCAACTGAGGCCTTCGGTGGAGCTCCCTATGGGGCCACGAAACGTGTGAGGGGTGTGCCGAAATGGGGGTGGAACCGCATGCGAATGCTGCCACTGAGGCCTTCGATGGAGCTCCCTATGGGGCCACGGAACGTGTGAGGGGTGTGCCGAAATGATTGGCATGTTTGGCATGTAAAGAGCAGACAAAAAGAGCAAGGGAGGAGGGAGGAGGGGGAAGAGGAGAGGAGAGGAGTGAGGCACGCGGGACGCTGTCTCTTCAAAACGACGACCCACCACCACAGGATGGTTGGGAAAATTAGCCTGGCGAAAGACCCAACCACATGCAGCTGTGAATACCATCGTTGTTAATACCGCCTTCGGTGAATCTCCCTATGGGGCCACGAAGCCCGTAAAGAGTGTGCCGAAATGGGGCAGGGCGGAGCTCCCTCTGGGGCCACGAAACGTGTGAGGGGTGTGCCAAAATGGGGCGGCGCAGCCATGCGGACTGCGCCACTGGGACCTTAGGTGGAACTCCCTATGGGGCCACGAAGCGTCTGAGGGGTGTGCCAAAGTGGGGCGGCGCCGCCATGCGGACTGTACCACTGGGGCCTTTGGTGGAGCTCCCTCTGGGGCCACGAAACGTGTGAGGGGTGTGCCAAAACGGGGCGGCGCAGCCATGCGGACTGCGCCACTGGGACCTTAGGTGGAACTCCCTCTGGGGCCACGAAGCGTGTGAGGGGAGTGCCAAAATGGGGCGGCGCCGCCATGCGGACTGCGCCACTGGGGCGCAAGGTAAGGATACAAGACGCCTTCACGTCCGTGATGAAACAGCTGCAGCGGCGCCAAAAATGGCCGATCAGGCAAGGCAGCCTTGAGAAAGCACTGTATCCTTACCTCTTGTTCTTGATTGGCAAGGCTTCGGGTTGCGCTGGGATCTGGGGTGTTTGACGCCCTCTCGGGGACAGCCTGGACTTCGTCGCTGAGGGGTCCGTGTGATAGCTGAGAGCCTTGCCAAAAGTGACTGCGTGTGCTTTCCCAATAATCTGGCGACCACTTTCTGTTGGAGGCATGGCCCCTAAAGGTCTTTCCCAAGGCCAGCCTCTCATACCGAAGCGTTTCTGGCGGGCCCTGGCCCGAAACTGCCCCCGCCCCTGAAAGCCAACCACAGAAACTAGAAACTGCCACCCAATCCTACTCGAGCCGACGGACACCCCAGCCTGAGGGTGCAAAAAATTAACAATCGTCCGCCCGGACTTGCCCTGGAACGTTTCGGCCAGAACTTCCAAGCGGACCCAGCCGAGGGCGACGACTGTGCCCCTGGAGGCCGCCAGAGAATTGGGGCGGACAACAAGACGCATCGGGGAGGCTCGAACCGAACCCAAAACCGCGCCCATCGGAATCTGCCAGGGGCCTCACTCTGCCGTCTTGGGGCCCTCTTGGGACGCTTTCTGGTCGTCCTGGCAGTCTCGTGGGCCGTCTTGGGTGGCTTCTGGGCCATACCGCGTTGACCCCACGATACGTGCGCCCCGAGCCTCGACCTCCTCCCCCCCCGCACGTTCCCACGGCAGGACGCGGCCACCGCGGCTGCGGCACCGAGAGTGGAGATCGAGGGGCACCTCGACGCGTGGGCTTCTGGTCTCCGGGGATAAACCACGTAGGTCTCCGGCGTCCGCCTCTTTAGGACGCTAATGATACCATGGTGCGACTGGCTCAGGGCACGTTCCAAGAATCCAGAATATCTGGCGGCCCTCGTTTCTGCAATCCGCGTGGAACATTCGGCAATATCGAAAATCCGGGCAACTTGGGAAATCCTGGAACGCATGGCTATTTCTTACCATGCCCTCTTGCTCCTGTGACTCTTTACAGTGAACAACAAGCGGGTCCTGCAGGGAACGGGCCCTTGGCCCTGGGCTGTCCCCGGGGCCAGCTTTCCATCCTGAGCATCGTTCTGACAAAGGCCCTGGGAAGGGCAGAAACGGCGAAAAACCTCAGGATCCCTCTCCCGGAAGAAAGCGTAAGCAGCATAGGCATAAACTCTCGGAGGCCCAGGGGCGACACCGCAGTCGCCGCCAGGGAGGCTGTGGAATGTACGGGAGTAACTGTCTGGAATACAGGGAGACACGAAGTACAAGAAGGGTGCCCGTGCTATAAGAGAGCACCTTTTCCTTCCTTTTACGGGGGCCAGGGCGCGTCCGTCGCCTGCGCGCCAGATGACTCAAGGGCCCTTGTGAACCACAGCGGCGGCACACAAGGGAAGTGGGACGGAGGCGAAGGAAGAGGAGAGGCTGAAATACGCATGACAACCATAGCTCCTACCTTTCTTGCGGCCGAGAAGCCGACTCCACCTCAGTCCACGAACTTCCTCTTATCGTTACCGTAGCATTGGTAACCGTAGCCGTTTGGAGACCGTAGACTTCGCCAGTAGCCCCAAAGCGTCTGTGATACGCAACCGGAACAGCCACGCGAACACGTAGGCCTTTGAAACGTCCCTAGGAGAGGTCCGCCCAGGGATTGTCAGATCCTGACTTGCCCGCAGCTCCCCCCATCTCGCCCATGAAACTCTTCGGCTCGGAGCCAGCGGGGTCGCACTGATACCCAGCTCGCTCCAAGTAGCGGGATGCTGCGCTGAGCTCTATGATCCAGTGAGGGACCCATCTATCGCTCTTGACAGAGAAAAATCCCAGCTCTTCATCTCCAAGTCGGAGTCCTCGATCGGCTCGTCCGAGCAAGCGTGGACTCTCGGAAATGCGGAAAGAACAACCCGTGCCGTAAGGTACATCCTGGCCGCGCGATTCCATACATCGTGCCATCCAACGACAGACCGCTTCCGCTGGATCCTGTCGTAGCTCTCCCACATTGCGGTAGCGTGGATCCAGAGCTTGGCGGCATAGGTGCTGCCATCGACCTGTCACTACTGCCTATGAGCATGCATATTGGGATAGATTGCGCGGCGACTGCGATCCACACGCATCTCGAGAATGCACGAGTGCAGCCTCATCTCGGGACCCATGTCAAGCGACACGTGCGCCATATAGTGTGTGCAACTGGTGCGACAGGTTGTTCCGGTGGAAATTGAAACCGGAGATGTTGTCCGTGCTCGAAGGTCCCTGCTTCAGCTCGCACTGACCTTCCTTGCTCCAGATAGAAGCAAGAGCCGCCAAGTTGGCGCCGTGGTAGGCGGTCTGGACGTCGGAATCCCGGTGGCCATGGGCTGAATTTTGCGACATCTCCTTGGCGCACATAACGGACATATCGATGAGCCACCACTGTCCGGTCGGGCATGCAAACGGGCCCTGGTCATGGGGGCCGTCGAGGATACCCGAGATGTGCACGAAAGAAGTTTTACCCTTTTGACAGCTGAATGTCCCAGATTGAGCTTCCAGAACCAACCCGTCCAATGCCATCGCATTGACAAAGGGTGTCGATCAGGTTGTCCCTCGCAACGTCGACCTTGGCACAGTCCTTCCAATGGTGGCTCATCATCTGTCGACGGCTTGCTTTGTCCTTTTAACCAGCGCGTAGCTCCGCCTCCAGTGGGCGCTGATGTAGTTCTCTTCGGGTCCAAGAAGTACCTGGCCCTTCCCCACTGGAGAGTCCTCCAGAGGATTGGAGACGGTCTGTTCGAGTGTCGCCGCGGCGTTCATGGCCTCCTGCAGGGCTTCTGCAGCTGGCGGCGCATCGACTACATATCACTTGAGAACACACACGGCGCTTGCCGCCTCGCGCTAGCTGGCAAAAACACTCTTCGGCTCCTCGCGCTGTTCCCGCTTGCCGTGCACCGCGACCTGCTCCGCGAGATCCTGGAGCGCGGCCTCGCCGTCTTTCGCCGGCCCCCCCCCCAACTGTCTCAGACTAGCTTCTTTTCCTCCTGGGGTGCATGCCAGAGGTTCCTGCCAATCCTCGGAAGGTCGTTGCAGCTCATGCTGGTGACGAGAGCCAGCGCCGCGGGAAGCCAGCCTGGTAGGTCCCGGAAGGTCCCCCAAGCGAGCTCTGACGCAGGGTGAGTACTCGCGGGGTCTTTGACTTCGGCCCTCGTGCACGCGGCGAAGTAACCATAGACAGGCTCGTGGTCTGGTTCCTGGGCCGCGTCCGTCAGGTAGTTCATCGCGATCTCGGCGTCAAACGCGTTGCGCGATGCGACCGGA